GAGTGGTGGGCTGCTCACTCATGGAAGGTTGTAGTCAGCACACCAGGGTCCCAATCCCTCAAAGAATGTCTCTCTTCCCAGGATGTCCCTGGATATCCTGGAAGCAGGCCACATCCCTAGGGAAACTCCCCTTGGGCAGATTGGCCACTCAGAACACAGTCATCCAATCCCATCATGGGAACAACCATACGGAACTGGGGTCCAGCTAAGTTGACACACAGCTCCAACTATCACACATGTCTTATGTTATAATTGTTATATATGTTATAAATGTTATGTATTATAACATGGTATATATTATAACATGTCTCAGTGTGGATCTCTTTGTGTTTATCCTACTTGTACTTCAATGAGCTACTTGAATGTGTAGATTCATTCCTTCCATCAAACTTTGGATGATTTCAGCCATTATTTCTTGAAACATTCTTTCTGCCCTTTTCTTTGTCTCTCTTCTTTTTGGGACATAATGCTTATGTTGGACCACTTAATGGTGTCTGTTAGGCTGTGTTTCCTTTTCTTTCTTTTCTGTTTGCTCCTCAGACTCAAAAGTTTTAATTGTTCTATTTTCATGTTCACTGATTATTTCTTCTGCCTAGTTTTTTCAGCTGTTGAATTCTCCAGTGAATTTTTCATCTTAGTTGTTGTAATTTTCAGCTCCTGAATTTCTGTTTGTCTCCTTTCTGTAATTTCTGTTTCTTTATTGAGATATGCATTTTGCTTGTACATACTTTTCTTGATTTCTTTTAGTTCTTTGTCCATGTTTTCCTTTAGCTCTTTGAGCATATTTAATACCATTGTTTAAAATTATTGTCTAGTAAATCCATTGTTTGTTTTTTATCCTGCCTTATCTCAACAAACACATATATTTGTATGTATTTGTTATAGACATCAGTTTTTTTCTCAGTGATGAAAAAGCTGACCCCCAGATTTCTTCTGGACACTGAAAAAAAAAAAATATCCTAGGCAATAGATAAAATAGTAAGAAGAAAAAGAAGTAAACATCAATCCCTGCCCTCTTGGAGCTTCAAGTCTTATGAATACCAGTGAAGGATGAACTGGAAGCTTTAGTGACTGGAGGCAGGGAAAGCACGATTATGATTTAATCAATCATCCTCAATCCCTTTTCTTCTTGTCCTTTAGCTTTATCTGCATTTTTCCTGTACTGTCCATCATCCCCTCCCCTTACCTGCAATATATGATTTCCCCTACCAACTCTTTTCATCCTTTGTGTGTTTTTGTATTCAGATCCATATTTTTTCCCTATATCCCCACCTACTCCCAATTACATTCTCTAATTTCTTCTATAATAGCTTTTGTTCTCCTAGCAAAGGGAAAAAAAGAAATACTTACTTTCTTGATGTTTTTCAGACTGGGAGTCCTGGTGTGAAATCAAGGAAGTATCTCCAAAATGGTGTATTGATGAAGAAGAAGTATCCCATGGAATGGCAATAGAAAGGCTTACAAGTCATGACTTTCAGTGCTCTGATTTGAGAGAAATCTGGAAATACGGTGGTGCATTTGACCAAAATCAGAGAAATCAAGAGAGGCAAGTGACAATTCTTAAGGAAATCCCTACTGGGCAAAGAGACTATGAATATAACAATTGTGAGAGAAGCATCTCCCTGAAGTCAGTACTTTTAACACAAGAGAGAGTTCCTACAGAAGAGCAAGTACATAAATTTCATATTTATGAGAAAATCTTCCCCAAAAATTCAGTCATAATTGAACATACAAAACTCCATGTTGAAAAAGAATCTTTGATAGATAGTGAATGTGAAGAAGAATTCAACCAGGGTATACACCTTACTAAAGATATAGAAATTCCTAATAGTGAGAAACATTATGAAAGTAATGATTTTTCAAATCTCTTAAGTTTTCATTCATTACTTACTCATCATCAGTTAAGTGATTTTGGTAAATTACCCCATGGATATGATGAATGTGGTAATGCCTTTAGCTATTACTCATTCTTTACTAAACCTCAGAGAATTCACAATGGAGAGAAACAGTGTGCATGCAACAATTGTGGAAAAGCCTTTAGCCGTGATTTTTTTCTCATTGAACAACAGAGAACTCATAATGGAAAGAAACCATATGAATGTAAGGAATGTAGCAAAGCCTTTAGACAGAGTGCACATCTTGCTCAACATCAGAAAATCCACACTGGGGAGAAACCCTTTTCATGCAATGAATGTGGGAAGGCCTTTAGCCGTTATGCCTTCCTTGTTGAGCATCAGAGAATTCACACAGGAGAGAAACCATATGAGTGTAAGGAATGTAACAAAGCCTTCAGACAGAGTGCACACCTTAATCAACATCAGAGAATCCACACTGGAGAGAAACCTTATGAATGTAATCAGTGTGGAAAAGCCTTCAACAGACGGATAGCCCTTACCCTGCATCAAAGGATCCATACAGGAGAGAAACCCTTCAAGTGTAATGACTGTGGAAAGACCTTTGGCTATCGCTCACACCTTAATCAACACCAGAGAATCCATACTGGCGAAAAGCCTTATGAGTGCATCAAATGTGGGAAGTTTTTTAGGACTGACTCTCAACTTAATCGACATCATAGAATTCATACTGGTGAGAGACCTTTTGAATGCAGTAAATGTGGGAAAGCCTTTAGTGATGCTTTAGTTCTAATTCACCATAAGAGAAGTCATGCAGGAGAGAAACCCTATGAATGTAACAAATGTGGGAAGGCCTTTAGTTGTGGCTCATATCTGAGTCAACATCAGAGAATTCACACTGGAGAGAAACCCTATGAATGTAATGAATGTGGGAAGGCTTTCCATCAGATCTTGTCCCTTAGGCTACACCAGAGAATTCATGCTGGAGAAAAACCCCGTAAGTGTAATGAATGTGGGAATAATTTTAGCTGTTCTTCAGCTCTTAGACAACATCAGAGACTTCATCATAGAGAAACACTCTGATTATAACAAATACAGGGAAAAAAAGTCACTACTCTTTTGAATATCATTTAATAATTTTTGGACAATAATTCTATAAATGTACATAGGAAAATGTCTTCAGTCCATAAGCTTTCCTTATTTTAAATAGCCTGAGTAGTGGACATCTATTACTGTTTATCTATACCCCATTTTCTATTTACTCCATCCCCATTGCATGTGATTTTGATGAAACTGTTAGTGATAGCAGTGGATTGGTTACAGGCTGACCTGTGCTTAATTAAGAATTGTCAAACAGCCTTGTCTGGGGCATTATAACCCTTTGAGGTATTGTTATGATTATTAAGAAAGAAGATTATTAATTTTTTTCTGGAATCCTTAGCCCTGAGGATTAAGTAAGATTAAAAACCAAATCCTTTTTGCCACTGCTTGAGGAAAGCCTTCCTGAAGATAAAGCCCACACAAGAAAATGAAGATGGGAGACAGAAATCTGATGACATTATTTCATCTCCTAGATCTAACCATGTTGACGTCTACACTGTTCATTACTTTTTCATCATTATTACCAGTAAATTCTGCCCCTATTTTTTTTGCTTAATTTGGATTGTGTTTTTAACTCTTGGAATTAGAGTTCTGACTCACACACCCTATGTTTGCTGTACTTGTTAGAAAGCCTTAATCTTTTTTACAGAATAATTAATTCCAAGGAGAAATGTTATGATATAACAGGTATATAAAAGTTGAATATACAGCAACTTAAAGCTGAGAGAATTGTTACATTTTATATGTTGATAACAATTAGTATTTATTAGTCTGTGTCACAATAAAGTGAATTTCATAAAATTCAATTAGTAAAAATCCTTAGCAAGCTCTCCCTTAAAAATTTAAAACCCATTTGCAGAAGTGTCCCATCATCAGTCTTTAAAGAGAGAATAGCAAGCTAAGGGAATAATGGGTCTCTCAGTTTAGTGAATGGTGCTTCATCTTAAAGGAATTACTTGATTTTTTGCTTTCAGTGTTGGTTCAAACATACTGTGTGGTAGACTGTAATTAAATGGAATTGTAAATGGGATCTTCTTTTGTGGGTGGGCTATAAGCTTCGTTTCAGAAGTTTATGGATAATTTCTTTTGGAACTAGAAATGTCAGACACAAACATTTCCTGGGAGACAGAAGAGTTCAGCCATTTTCAGCTAGTGGTAAAGGTAACAATTGGAGCCTGAAATTTTTTGAGAGTTAGGTATTTCCATTCTTCACAGTAATGAGGAATATGAGGGTACAGGGCAATATACTCCTTATAGATTTGGGGAAGTAAACTTGGGTGATAGAGAAACTTAGCTACCTTAAACATTTAGAACCAGTTAGAATCTTGAACATTACCTAGAGATCATATATGAAAACAGATAATAACAAATGAATTAGGGAATAATGAAGGCCTGAATATGTGCCTGGATGACTGCTACTTTAATAATTTGATTACAGAATTTAAGCATATCTACTAAAAATGTGAAAATATCGTTCTTAAATATTAATTAAAACAAATTCTCTTAAGATAAAAAACTACAGATATAGTATGACTCAATACTTCAAATCTTGAACAGAAACAAATATGTTGTTGTTATGTGCCTTTGAGTTGGTACGCTACCAGAGCTCCCAAAACAAATATAATGATTATAAAATATTAACAAACATATCACATCTAACCTAAAATACATTAATATCATAATCTTACTTCATATTACCACTTTTTTAATTGTCTTTCTTGGAGGTATAAGAATGCTTTCAGTTGATCCTCATAATTCACAGATTCCATATTTGCAAATTTGCCTATTCACTAAAATGTATTTCTAATCCAAAAATATTCATGGCACTTTAATTATCATTTGTAGACATGCACAAAACTGAAAAATTTGAGTCACCCGATACCTTCCCAGTTAGGGTCAAAAAAGCTTTGTTTGAGCTCTCATACTATAAACAAATGTCCTCTTAGAATCTATTTGGTGCCATGTTTTTCACAATTTTTGTGATTTTTGTAGGTGATCTTATTGTTTAAAATGCCCCCCATGCATAGTACTGAAGTACTATCTGGTATTCTAAAGAAATCTGTGATGTGCCTTATGGAGAAAATATATTGCCATAAACCCAAGTCACTGGTTGATTCACTGTTTTTATAGTTAAATTTGTAATGCTGATAAAGTCTTTTTCATTCATACTTTTAGCATAAGTGTTTGTATTTTGAAATATGTTGTTTCTTCTCACAGTGAGTTACTAAATTTTGTTTAGCTACAACTATGCAACACATTTTCTTGTGTGATATATTGACCTGATCTTTTAACATTACTTAAAATTTGTACTTTATATTAGTATCTAGTACTCAATGGCAGTGAGGTGTTTTTTTTTTTTTTTTTGTGGTTGTTGTTGTTGTTTTTTTAATAGTTACTAGGACCATCTACAACAACAAAGACCATCTGGGAGATGAGGGTATAGTTTGCAGTTAGTTGTCTTTGGGACACAGACTAATTCATTAGAACCACTGGTGAATATTTTCCACTTTTTTATTGCGTGTGATAAATGGTTTTTGACTCTTGGACCCCTTTTTTAGTCTTGTCATTATGTGTAATTTTAATGTTGAACATGTCTTTGTTCCTCATTACAGTTTATGCAATTTTGCTTGTCATATTTATGTTGTGTTTATGTATGTGTATCTGTGCTTCATTTAAAAGTTTGTAAAATGTCCTACTATGTGGCAGACTTTGTTCTGATCTAGGCAGTGGAAAAACAGTAGTGAACTAAACAGACAAAAATCTGTGCCTTTATAGAGCTAATTTCTAATGAAGAAAACACAGTGAAAAATATGTGTAAGTGAAATATGTAATATATAAGAATGAATTATAAGGAGAAAAAGATGAAAATTATAAAGATAAAAGAGGGGGGCCAGGTAGAAATTTTAGG